CAAGGATGCACCTCCCTAACGATGCCCCTCCCCTAACGATGCACCCAAAGATGAACCTCCCTAACGATGCACCCAACGATGCACCTCCCTAACGATGCACGTTCCCTAACGATGCACCCGACGATGCGTCTCTGCTAACGATGCACCTCCACTAATGACGTACCCAACGATGCACCCAAGGATGCACCTCCCTAACGATGCGTCTCCCCTAACGATGCGCCCCATGAGACACCTCCCCTAACAATGCGCCTCCACTAAAGATGCACCCAACGATGCGTCTCTGCTAACGATGTGCCTCCGCTAATGAGGCATGCAAGCATGCACCCGATGATTAGTGTCCACTAAGATGCCTCCAACGACGCGCCTCCACTAACGACATGCCTCCACTAACGATGCGCCTCCGCTATATGATGCACCTCCACTAACGAGGCGCCCAACGAGGCACCCAATGATTAACGTCCGCTGAAGATGTATGCAACGATGCACGCAACAATGCGCCTCTGCTAACGATGTGCCTCCACTAACGAGGCACTCAATGAGGCACCCAGTGATTAATATCTGCTAAAGACGTATCCAACGATGCACCTAACGATGCGTCTCTGCTAAAGATGCACCCAACGACGCGCCTCTGCTAACGACGCGCCTCTGCTAACGAGGCACCCAACGAGGCACCCAATGATTAATGACTGCCAAGACACACCCAACGATGCACCCAACGATGCGCCTCTGCTAACGAGGCACCCAGCAAGGCACCCAACGATTAATGACTACTAAGATGCACCCAATGGTGAACCCAACGATGCGCCTCTGCTAACGACGTGCCTCTGCTAACGAGGCACCCAATGAGGCCAACGATGCCCCCAACGATGCGCCTCTGCTAACGAGGCACCCAATGATTAATGACCGCTAAGATGCACCCCATGGTGAACTCAATGATGCGCCTCCGCTAACGATGCGCCTCTGCTAACGAGGCACCCAATGAGGCACCCAATGATTAATGACCGCTAAGATGCACCCCATGGTGAACTCAATGATGCGCCTCCGCTAACGATGCGCCTCTGCTAACGAGGCACCCAATGATTAATGACCGCTAAGATGCACCCCATGATGAACTCAATGATGCGCCTCCGCTAACGATGCGCCTCTGCTAACGAGGCACCCAGGGGGCCCCCCAGCCGGACCGGGAGGTGTCGGGG